ATCTGCCATTTTTGAGAGAGCTACGGATGGGACCTACGGGGAGTAGGTCCATCCATGCCTCGTGGGGGTAACTCGTGGGTCAAGGCCACATTTGAGGGGCTGCATACCAGCACCTACGAATGTACAGCATGCCCCGTAGACCCACCCACGGTCCATGGGTCGTGGTCTTGTGGGTAGGGGCTACTTGTGGTCGAATTATTTTAAGTTGGGGACTTTGGGGTTAATTCCATATTAGTTAGGGGTTAAGTGGGGATGGTTAATTAGTTATTAAGCCCCCTGTATATACCTAATAGACCCTTAATTAGGTGGTTTACACCAAATTCTCTCAAGAAATTCTCTCTCTCTAGAAGAAGAAGGTAAAGGAGAAGGAGAAGGAGAAGGAGAAGGAGAAGGAGAGGGAGAAGAATAAGAAGGGCATATTTCTTCCATTGTTTCAATATTTTGTTAGGGCTTTGAAACAAGGTATGTTAGCTTATTCATCTATGGGTTCTTCGACCCATAGATCCCCCTAGGTTTTCCCCCAATTCTAGCTAGGGTGTCTTCCTACATTGTGGGTAGTGTTTAAGTATGATTCCAATCTAGTGGATATTACTTAATTATGATTGAATTAGAATGTAATTATGATATTATGGTGCACTTATGTGATTTCTATGGTTAACCCTAGCATAATTGATAAATTTGATATTGTGTGGGTTTATTCCATGGAAGGTGAAATTGAGAATTCATAGGTGATCTTCTAAAATCAATGTCATGTGTAGAAATTGTTCAAGGTTAGGAACATATAATTATTAATTGAACTAGACTTTATTGAATATGAAGGATCATGACTAGTAAAGTTGAAATTGAACCTTTATGATGAAATATGACTTGAAGCACCTACTAATAAAGAATTTGATTAGAATACCTTGAAATGTAGGTATAATGATGATAGTAAGAAGTAAAGCTTGAAAATAAGTCTTGTAGTCAGCAATGTGAGGGATTTGGGGGTAAACCTAATATGATGTGATTTTGCTGTGTATTGTTGAAGGTATATGAAGAGTCCGAGATTTGGACTCATACATGGTTTTAATTATAATGATTTAGTGTCCTCAAATGCCTATTTTGTGCCAATAACTGATGTAAAACCCTTGATTTTTAGATATATAGATTGAGGAACAAAGCTAGGACATAAATGGACAATAAAGACAACACGAGCGAAAAAAAGAAGGGAAAAACAAGCCTGATGATTGCCAATGTCACTTAGCGAGTCACCAAGTTACCCCTCTACCGCCTAAAGTTTTAGAATGCTGAGGCTAGATTAGGCATAATTTCGGTGAGCAGCAGATCACCTTGGCATGACGCCGATCGCATCGGCGTTGGATAACCAGGTCATCTAACGTACCGATGGAGACCCAGATAATCTCACATGGGCGAGACAAAAAATAGAAGGGCGCATCGCGGAATGAAACGATGATCCTGAGTTGACTCGCCTAAAATTACTATGGTCGGATGAAGAAGATGTGAAGCAGGAGGGATGGGCGAAAGGGCAATCGGCGAGTCGCTCAACGGTTGGTGAGGCCCGATTTTCCTCGTCGAGTGGCCCCAAAATGTCACACCAGATTTTGTATAAATTTATTTTTTTCATGAGAGAGAAAGCATTCAAAAATCGTGAGGAACAAAATATAGCGAGGAAAATCACTGTAATTGTGGATTGGCAGTGATTTTTTGACAAGATTCTTCATTTTGGGTTTCGTAATAGAGAATATATTATTAAATTTTGACTTCCAAACTTCATTTGCCCAGTTATGGAAAACATGGTACGTATTGAATTTCATCTTTTTACCATGATTAGCTAAAACCCTAACCTTGGGGGTTTGACAATGTAACAAATTGTTGCATTTGACTAAGTAGGTATCTTCAATTAGTAAACTTTGATGTTAATTTGAAGTGGGTCTGAATTATTATCGTGGTTTAACTTCATTATTACATGTTTGATGCAATATAGTTTAGAAATTTCTGCTTGCTCGAGAGAGAAGCATAGAGCCAATGTAGTAATTTTGCATCCTTAGTAAAGGGTCATTACGGTTTCAGCTTGAGAAAGTGATACTTAAGATTCAGCCTTTGTGTCTAGTTCGAAAGAGTAGATTTTATGAGAAAGTGGGCTGGACGTTTTATGGCTAGTGTTGAAGTTCGAGATAATTCAGCATAAATAAGGTAATTGTTCGAGAGAAAATTGATTTACACATAGTCCATTCTACCAACAACAAATTAACATTGTTGGTAATCATGTTCACCCATTCAGTTGAATTCAATAGTTGGTTAGACAATCCCCCAAGTGTTGTCTCGTTATTTGATTGTTCTATGTTTATTGTTGAAGGGGTTATTAAGTGCAACCTGGAATTCGATTTCTAAACTCTTAAATTTGGTCTAGCTAAAGAGGTCACTGTCATACTTTCATATAGAATTCAAAAGAAAGCTACTCCATGTGGGATCAACCCTAAATCTTGTAGTTGGTTTTATACTGATTTACGACCGTTGACACTTAGAATTGGATGAAGTGTCCTTGAAACGTTAATCAGTTTATTCTCACTTACGTACCTAGGCATAAATATGCCAGGAGATGCGAGGTCCTCTCACATAGAATGATTCTAGGTTGACTTAATAACCTAATATGAATCAAAGCTTGTTAGTGTAGAATAGCTTTAAGTTGTGATGTATGATCCCTTCATGTATAGCTTGACTTGGTAAGACAAGACCATGATTGGTAGCTTAGGATTGAGGATCTACACTCTCCTAAAGGTAGCTTGACTTAGCATTGTAAGATGCATTTCAAGGGTAGCTTGAGTTAGAAGTAGTCATGGTAGCCTAAGATTGAGGATTTATACTCTCCTAAAGGTAGCATGAACTAGCATTATTAGGATACCTTCAAGATAGCATGACTTGGTTTGGCCAAGACCATTTCATGGTAGCTTAGGATTGAGGAATCATACTCTTCTAAGGGTAGCTTAGGATTGAGGAATCATACTCTTCTAAGGGTAGCTAAGGATTGAGAAATCATACTCTCCTAAGGATAGCTTAGGATTGAGGACACATACTCTCCTAAGAGTAGCTTGCATTAGCATCATAGTGTGCTTGTAAGGGTTGCATGACTTAGTTGGACTAGGACTATTTTATGGTAGCTAGGATGGAACACTTGTACCCTTCCTAGAATATCTTGGACTTGCATGCTAGTTTTCCTTCCAAGGTAGTTGTTTTAGCTTAATAAAGTTATGTTAGCAAGATGATATCATGTGTTAGCCTATTAGGGTGTCATTCCTTGGTAGCCTTGAATTGAGAAATAAAATTCATTCATGTGTTGTGACTTGCCTTGTTCTAAATAGAGAAGTACCCTAAATGACAAATGGAAAATTGAAAGGAGGGGCTAGTCCCCAACTAGTGAGTATGTATAATAGCATAACTTGGTACTTAGTGTGAATAGTAGTATGGGATGCTATTCATACATTGCACAAGTTTTACTTGAAGCTACTTATGAAGTGTTCTCTTATATAGTATAGACTTATCTTGGGTTGTTTCTATAGTTACCTATAATTGACTAAAGGTGATAATTCCCTTGTTTATATGAAGTAAGCTAATAATGAGACCAAAAGAGGGTAAGTATGACTGTGATGACTTCAAGGTTATGCTTAGTGTGAAGGGTAGTATGGGATGCCTTTCATGCATTTCATAAGTGTGCTTTGAGGTTACTTAGGAGTATGGTGCCATTATGGTAGAAAAGCTTAAAGACTTGACCATGTATATAAACTATGCTTAAGACGACCAAAAAGGGATACTTAGCTTGGGTGGTCTAATGGGATGCTATTCATGCATTGCACAAGTATGCTTTTAGGTTACTTGAGAGTAGTTTTATTATCGTATAGATGACTAAGAGTTGAATATTGCTTATATGATGCTTATGTTGAAGACTTTGCTTATTATTTTGATATTGTCTATTATGCTTATAGTTTATGTTCCATGACATATTTCATATGATTGTGGATTATGGATTATGTCTTACATTGACTAACCTTTGTCTTATGGTCTTATGATTATGCTAGCTAACATATTTAGTACATTTTGTACTAACTCATACTTTGCCTACATTCTCATCAAATGTAGGGTTTGGAGATTGAGTTCTATTCTTGGATAGGTTTCTAAGGAACAAAGGAGTTGAAGATCTTGGTGAGTCCTCATAGCTTCGAGGACAAAACTCACTAGTTTCTTTATATCTTTTATTTTCATGTTGAGACTATTGTATGGGCTGTGTCCCAAGAGGTTTATTCTAAAGTTGTATTAGATGGATTGAGACAAAAAGTATAGTAAAGGCGTCCACTTGCTTTTATGAAAAAGACTTTGGTTGTATGGATAAAAGTTTTTATATTTTTTCGTACTTTTCTATTATTTTATGTTATGATATGCTAAGGTCTTGTATGAAACCCCTTTAGGGTCAAGTGCGCCATGTTAGATCTATGGTGTACCCCTGGGTCGTAACAATCTGGTCCCTTGGTCAGTCTGACACATAAAAATTTCAGAATACTTATCTAGGGTCTACAAATGCCATTCACAGTCTGTGGAGTCTGGTACCTAGGTTACTCTGACACTTAGAAATTTCAGAATACTTACCTGGGGTCTATGGATGCCATTCACGGTCCATGGATGAAACCACGGACCGTCGATGGATTCCGTAGAACACTGCACACCTGTTTTTCTGCAGATTCTGCCTTTCACCCCTGCACACGTAGCAACCATTAGGACTTTCTTTTTACAATTTGTGGACACTTATTAGACACAGACCCTATTCTATATCTAGCCAACACTAATACAAAAATAAAAAACCTATCCAAAGAGTTAAAAAAATTAAAATAAAAAAAGAAAACTACTAAATCTAAAAGAAAAACCTATAGTTGGCTAGATTGTACATCTTGGGTTACCTCCCAAGCAGCACTTGATTCAACGTCGTGGCACGATGCAGACACTTTGATTACTTAGACTTCATCAAGATAATAGGCCTTTATCACCTCTTTCACACTCTCCAATTTCCCCATGTAGACTTTGATCCTTTGCCTGTTCACCTTAAACCTTATTCCTTCCTTGTTCTCGAGCTCGACCGCTCCATGTGGGAACACTTGAGTGACTCGGAATAGCTTAGTCCACTTGGACTTGAGGTTGCCAGGAAACAATCGCAGCCTTAAGTTTAATAGAAGCACCAGATCACCCATAATAAATTCACGCTTTTCTATCTTCTGATCGTGATACTTCTTGATCGTCTCCTTGTAGAAGGCTGAACTTTCATATGCTTTTAGACGAAACTCGTCAAGCTCATTCATGTCATTCACTCTTTGACTCGATGCGGCGCCCCAATCCAAATTCAACTTATTTAGCGCCCACATAGCCTTGTGCTCTAGCTCAACCCGAAAATAGCACAACTTTCCACATACAAGTTGGTAGAGGGACACCTATGGGAGTCTAAAATGCGGTGCGATAGGCCCATAGAGCATCAGCAAGCCTCCTTGACCAATCAATTCTATTGGCATTCAAAGTCTTTGCAAGGATTTGGTTTATCTCTTTGTTTGACACTTCAACTTGCTCCACTAGACTGCGGATGGTAAGGATTGTGACGGACTCCATATTTATCTAGCAACGCCTTGAACAACTTATTACAAAAGTGGGAACCTCCATCACTAATAATCGCCCTAGATGTACCACATCTGGAGAAGATACTCTTTTTTAGGAATGTGGTGACACTTTTCCCTTCATTGTTTGAAAGCATAATTGCTTCCACCCATTTCGACACATAATCAATCACAACAAGAATATACTTCATCCTATGTGAACTCACAAACAGACCCATAATGTCAACCAAGCATCAAACAACTCAATTACCAATATCAGATTCATAGGTAGTTCTTGCCTCCTTGAAATTCCTCCTTCTCTTTGGCAACGATCACAAGACTTTACGAAATCATGAGCATCTTGGTCGACGGTAGGTCAGTAATACCCACAATGCAAGATTTTATGTGCAGTCTGAATGCCTCTATGATACCCAACAACAGGCGATGAATGACATGCCTCTAGTATACTCATCAACTCAACCTCGGGCACACAGCGATGAATATTCCCATCAGCAAAAATATGAAGCAAATAAGGCTCATCCCAAAAGAACTTCTTCACATCATGCATAAACTTTGTCCTTTGGTGAAATTACAAATCTAATGGAACCAGATCACTTGTCAAAGTAGTTAGCAAAATCTGCGAACCAACGAATAAGATCAAAAGATGCAGCCAATACATGTTCGTCTAGATAGCATCATTAATTTCAGCCCCATCTCCAAGCTTGAGCATAGCTTCCTCTTCCAAAATAGAAAAATGGTTGGAAACCTGATTCTCTGTCTCATTTCTATCTTTCACCTCAAAATCGAACTCTTGCATAAAAAATATCCATATAATCAACCTTGGCTTTGCATCCTTTTTAGCCATCAGATACCTCAATACAGAATGATCAGTATGCACTATGACCTTAGTACCAAGCAAGTAGGATCGAAATTTTTCAAAAGCGAAAACCACAAGAAGGAATTCTGGTTCAGTCACTGTATAGTTCTTTTGAGTCACATTCAGAGCTTTGCTGGCATAGTAAATAGGATGAAGAATCTTTTCTTGCCTCTGTCCCAATACCACACCAAGTGCCAGTCCACTCGCATCACATACCACTTCAAAAGGTTGCCCCAAGTCTGGTGAAATAATGATAGCTTTGGAAACTAGCTTTTCTTTCAACTCTACAAATGCTCATAGAAAAGCATCATCAAAATCAAACTTACACTAATTTCCGAGCAATTTGCACAATAGGTGTGCAATTTTGGAGAAATCCTTGATAAACCTCCTATAAAAGCATGCATGCCCAATAAAACTTCTAACACCTTTAACAAAGATAGGTGGTGAAAGCTTTTTTATACCTCCACTTTAGCTATGTCAACCTCAATACCATTCTAAGAAATACAATGATCCAGAACGATCCCCTCTTTCAAGATGAAGTGGCAGTTTTCTCAATTGAGCACAAGATTGCACTTTTCACAGCGTTTCACCTTGACCAAATGCATCAGACAACCATCAAACGAGTCACCTACCATAGAGAAATCATCCATAAATACCTCAATAGTGTCCTCCACCATTTCTGAAAATATCGACACCATGCAATATTAGAAGGTCGCTGGAGCATTACACAACCCAAATAGCATCCGTTTGAAGGCAAAAGTCCCATAAGGGCAATGAATGTGGTTTTCTCTTGGTCTTACGAAGCTATGGAGATCTGATTATAACCCGAATACCTATCAAGAAAGCAATACCAACCCTTACCAGCAAGGCGATCCAGCATCTCATCCATGAACGACATAGGGAAGTGATTATTTTCTGTCAAAGTATTCAATTTCTAGTAGTCCATGCATATTCTCCATCCAGTCACTGGCCGCATCAAAACAAGCTCATTTTTTGCATTAGGAACCACAATAATCCCCCCTTTCTTTGGAAGACACTGAACTGGACAAACTCAACTACTATATGCAATGTGATATATGACTCTAGCATCCAACCATTTGATGATTTCCTTTTTCCCTACCTCTTGCATAGGAGGATTTAGTCTCCTTTGGTGCTCATACTAGGCTTTTGGTCCGACATGAGTTGGATTTTATGAGAACAAACGCCAGGAGGAATCGCAATAATGTCCGCAGTAGTCCATCCAATTGCCCTCTTGAACCTCTTCAACACCGAAACCAATGCCTCAACTTGTACCTTACTCAAATCGGACACAACGATGACCGGTAAAGTACCATCTCTCCCCAAGAATACATACCTCAAATGCAATGGTAGAGCCTTGAGCTCCAATTTTGGAGCTCTTTAACGCACGATTTTGCGGGTGGAAAGTCACGATTCTTCATATCTAGGTCCATTTTTTTTGGTTTGGAACGAAATTCAAACCTATAAATACGACAACTAATTCATCATAGTCTTCAATACAATCACTCTCAAAATGCATCAATATCGCCGCCAGTGCATCAACACCCATCCTCTCTTCAATAGACACATCAGAACCTCGCTCCACAACATGATTTACCACAGATACTTACTTGAGATCGCTTTCCTGCTTCATAGACTTACAGATGTTGAAAGTTACTTCTTCATTATTGAATCAGAACTTCATCTGCCTTCTCTGCATATCGACCAAGGCATGCCCAGTAGCATGGAATGGTCTTTCTAGGATGATCGGAACCTCAAAATCAATCTCACAATAAAGTATCACAAAATCCACCAGAAAAATAAACGACTCCACTTTCACAAGTACATCTTGGAGAACACCAATGGGCTTCTTCACAGTTCTATCGACCATGAGTAATTGTATCGTAGTTGGTTTTGGAGCCCCTAAACCCAACTGCTTGTAGATAAACAATGGCATCAAATTAATGCTAACACCCAAATAACACAACGCCTTCGCAAAATGCAACAACACAATGGTACAAGGAATAGTGAAAGTACCAAGATCCTCTTTCTTCTGCACAAGTGACCTAGTAGCAATAGCACTGCAATGTTTCAACCTCTCATCATTCTCATAACTGACGGCCCTTTTTTTGGTCACCAAATCCTTCAAAAACTTTGCATACCCAGGCATTTGCTCCAAAGCCTCTATCAACGAAACATTGATGGAAAGTTGTTTCAACATTGTAATGAACCTGCGATATTTTCCTTCTTCAATCTTCTTCATCAATCTCTATGGGAATGGCGGTAGAGGTCTAGGCATGGGAACAACTTTTTAGGTCACCTCCACTTCCTTCTCTGTAGCATTGTTAGACTCTCCAATAACCTCTATCTCATCATCATCTTTTTTTACCACAATTTCAACCTCAGACGGCATAGGGGGATCAATGGTCTGTTTACCTCCTCGAGTAGTAACTGCCATACAATGCCCATCATTCTTCGGATTATGGATGGTGTTGCTAGGAAGTGTGCCAGGCTGACGTGGGTTTACTGTAGTGGACAACTAATTCATCTGCTGCTCAAGTTACTTGATCGACACTGCATGGGCATCAGCTTTATGACCGATTCTAGAAAATTCATTTTACATCTCTTTCACATTCTCATTAGTCACATCAAACCTCTTCATCATTTTCTTCATCATATCCTCAATGCGTGCCATACTACCCTCCAACTTCCCTATTGCCAAATTGCCGATTTGAAGGTGGAACATAATGCACAACTCTCTTGTTTCTGTTGCCATAGTTGTTCCGGTTGTAGTTGTTGTTGCGATTGTAGTTCCCATCCCAGACATAGTTACCCTCTCGATTGTAGTTACCATAGTTTCAACCTTGGATTCCTTGACCTTGACACCAATTATCCAAATTGGAACCTTGGGTGTTAGCTCGAAAACCCCCCATTTGATCATTCACCAAGTAAGCATCCTCCTCATAGTAGCATTCCTCAACTAGTGGTGGTGGATTTCTAGTCAAGTAGTTTACTGCCGATCACATGCTTCAACACCAACCCAAGTTATTTCCTCATCTGAGCCATCTCCTCACGAATGTCATCAACAAATTGACTAGGCGCAACTTGAACTCCCAATGTACTTCTTCCAGTGTCTAACTTTCTAGTACTCCCTGCTTTATTATTTTGAGATATCTTCTCCAGTTTCTCAGCGATCTTCTCAAAAGTGCACTGACCATATGATCCTCCAACAATAATATCAAGCACATTCTTCCTATTTTCATCCCGACCTCTGTAGAAATACTCCTGCTGTGATTCATCACAATGCGGTGATTTGGAACACTTCTTATGAATGCAGTGAACCTGTCCCACGAACTGCTCACAGACTCTCCAGGTAGTGCTACAAACTTGTTTAGTTTGTCCTTGTGATTCAGCTTCTTGGACAATAGAAAATACTTTGCCATGAACACTTTGTGCAATTAGTCCCCTGTTTGAATCGAGTTATACGAAAGCTCAGAAAACCATATCGCAACATCTCTGGTCAACGATATAGGGAAGAATCGCAACCCTATGAAATTCATGTCCAACTCCGGTCATCCCACACAACTCTTGCAGACACTCTTCAACTTGGCTATGTGCCCATACGGATCTTCTGAAGCCATACCAGAAAAAAAAAAAACCCTTATTGTAATCATCTGCATCAGACTGCAGGTCACCACAAATGTATGTCCTACAAGTAGAGGAGGGAGAACAATGGGTCCTCCAAATTCAACGATATTGAAGTTGACCGTGTAATTACCACGCAGTCTTGGTTCTGGTGGATTCTGCACCCTTAATGCATTTTCGACTAAATTACCGCCAGAACCTGAGCATTCTCATAACCAACAACTTCTGCAAGCTCCTCTATGATTGGATTATTTTGCACCCCTTTATTATTCATCTTTCTCAAAGTTTTGCTCAACTCTGGATCATATGGGGTCAATGATTCGCCTCGACTCTGTGTACTTGGCATACACTAGAGTAGAAACCCTAAGAAAACAAAAACAAAATAAAACGTAAAATTAGGAAATAATTGAGTAAATTGCAATAATGTAGTTAAGCTTAATGTAAAAGCCTTATTCCCCGACAGTGGCGCTAAAATTTAATACGCTCAAATTACACCTCCCTAAAGAGGTATTTGCGATCGTTGTCAAATAAAGAACCCAAGTTGTAGGTTGGGGTCTATCCCACGAGGAATATGGTTCAGACTTAAACTTATCTTGCTATTATATTCGTTTAGTCAACTTATATCCAAGACAAGTAAATAAAGGGGGGGGGGGATTTGTGAAACAAATATTGTTGTTTAAGTAACAAGTGAGCAAGATTCAAACTTTAAGTTATCAATATGAGAAAGAAAGTAGGGTGTATGTGTTCCCCATAAGCTCATAACGTGGTGATCCTAATAATAGTAATTTGTTCCTAGTGTTTTACATGCAAAGTTGGTAAGATAGGTATCCCTAAGTGATTGGTCCTCTAAGTAGGGAATTTCACTCTGAACCTTGGTCCCGCTACGTGTGTATAATTTACTAACACTAACCTTTTCCTCAGATTAGACATTACATCAATGTATGGCTTAGTTTGCACCCTCGCACCAATTGATATTAGACTATTAGATAGCATCACTCCAAATCTCTACTGATAATTCTTTTCTTATTAAATACGTCATTGGTCTGGCAAGTAGCAACAAGGCAAGTTCTAACGCGTGCACTCATTAAAAAGACTTCTAAGCGAAAGAAATACCAATGAATGCATCAACATTATTCAAGAATTACTTAGTTATTATTCATACGTTGTTAATTGCTCATGGTTCCCACAACCCTAGTTGTGGATTTAGCTACTCATTCTTGGAAGAACACAATTCAATTTTTGATAATAAGAATTATTGAACTTACGTTTAGAGTAGAATAAACCCGATATCTCGAACTGAATTTCAAAGCAAAAATCTTATAAACTGAAATCCGAAAATCAAATAGCCAAAGTTTGCACGTTAATTCCTAAGAAAATATCAAGAACTAAAAGTTAACAATAATGTCTAAGCCCCAAAAAGGAGGTTTACATACCCTATTTATAGAAAAACATGTCCTAAACAAAAAGTAAACAAAATAAGGAAAAAAACTTCTGGGACGCGGCTTTGATCGACAACTCGACCTACAGACCATGGGTCGACCTACAGTTCGTAGGTCCCCTCCATTGGTCAACACTTGAAACTTTTCAGCAGAGGCCGAAACCTTCAACTCCCAGTTCATCAATGACCGATATGCATGACGGATCGTAAGTGAACCTATAGTCCGTGGGTCCTCTTATGTGGATCCACACTTAGGTCGACTTGTAGGTCGGATGTGCAGGATGGCCTATAGGTTGACCTACGGTCCGTGGATAGCTTTGTAGTTCTACACTTGGTAAAACTTCCATGATGCTCCTTTCTACGCCTACCCATCGATAGACCGTCACATCCATAAGTCACTCTGTGGGTGCCACTTCTACAAAATTTGAGTTGTCATCTCACTCAACCGCGTCAAGACCTTTTTCCTGCAAACATAACACACAAAACATTATTTTCAATACAAAATAGACTAGACACACACAACTCTTAAGTGAGATATATCAAATATACCATAAACTCACGGAATATCATTGATAATCATGGGAGTGACGCTGGTGGAAAGGGGGAATTAGCCACTTACCAACTTAAGGGTGTTCTTCAAGTTTGGTTCAACCAATGGAACGGATATAGGGTGGTTGATGCGGGTCCTCTTGATTGGGAAATGTTTAAGGTTGCTTTCCTTGACATGCTCTTTCCTCATTAGATGAGGGAGGAAAATGTGCTTGAGTTCATTAAACTTTGTCAAGGAAATATGAGTGTGAAGGCGTATGTCTTGAAGTTCACGCAATTGTCTAGATATGCTCTTACTATGGTTATCGATCCTATGGGCAAGGATGAGAATGTTTGTTTCGAGAGTGTCTGAGATGGTAGTTAAGGAATGTCGTACCTCCATTCTTATCAATGAAATAACCATTTCTCGTCTAATGATTCATGCTCAACAAATCGAAAAGGAGAAACTTAAGGAAAAGTCTAGGGAGGCAAAGAGGGTAAGGATCGGTGATGGTGACTTTTCACATTCAAGGTCCGATGGATATGGTTGTTCTAGGTTCCGACAAGGGTTTTTCGGTCAAGGTTTCTCTAGAGCTCCTACTCTTAAGTTCAAAAAAGACACGGTGTCTAACCCTACACCTAAAGAAGGAAATGGTGATGGAAATGGATCTTTGGCTCCCACATGCGAGAAGTGTGGCAAGAGTTATCTGGGAATATTCTTGATGGGTACAGATAATTGCTTTATGGGTGAAATTTTCAAGTAGACCAAATCATCAACGTTAAATTCAAGCTCTCTTCTTCTAACATGACATACGACTTTTGTCGACTTTGAACCATTTTCAAACTTTTGCAAATAAGTCAAACCTTTTCCATAGCCTATTGCACCAATTTGGGACCTATCAAAGCAATGTGACGAACGTCAAACCAACCTATAGGAGACCTACACCTCCTACCCTAAAGAGCCTCAAATAGTGTCATCCCAATGCTAGAATCATTATTATTATTATTACAAGAAAACTCAATCAAAGGTTAGTGATCATCCAAATTTCCCTTGAAGTTACTTCCACAAGCTCTAAACATATATTTTAAGGTTTGGATGGTACGCTCGGCTTGTCCATCACTTTGATGGTGGAAATTCATGCTAAGTTTCACTTGAGTACCAAGACCCTTTTGAAATGACTTCCGAAACTGAGATGTATACTGAGTACAACGATCAGAGACAATAGAAAAGGGTACTCCACGCAACCTTACCATCTCCTTAATATAAAACATGGCATACACTCCCGCGAAAAATAAAGTCTTAATCGGAAGAAAGTGAGTCGATTTCATCATCTGGTCCACAGTAACCCAAATTGAATAAACTGATGACGAGTGCGGGGTAAACCTGTAATGAAGTCTATATTCAAATCTTCCCACTTCCATGTTGTCATGACCAGGGGTATACCCTAGAAGTAACATGATGTACTTGACCACGAAGGGGTCTAATACAATCCCTTAGCATATCATAAACATAGGTAATAGAAAAATATGGGAAAATTTAAAAAAAATTACAATTGATATCATTTTCATAAAAGCAAGCAAAAGTCCTTCTATATTTTATCTCAAACTATCTAATACAACTTTTAGAATAAACTCTTGGGACACAACCCATACAAAAGTCTCAAAAACATGAAATAAAAACATAAAGGAAATGGTGGATGTTGTCGTCAGAGCTATGAGGACTCACAAAGATCTTCAACTCCTTAGCTCCATAGGAAACCTAGCTTCAAGATAACACTCAACTCTCCAAATCCTACATTTGATTAGAATGTAGTCAAAGTATGTGTTAGTACAAAATGTTAAAAATA